ACAGGGCAGCCCTTACTTTATCTCAAAAGGGGTGGGGAGGAAGGCAGAGCTCACCTGTGTCAGGGGGTGCTGCACAGTTAATACCCCGAAGGCCAGCCCCGCCACCGGCCTGCTTCTCCTTCTGGACCCTGAGGGTGAAACAGCACCCTTCCTGCCCACACAGCCACCCTCATCACCTCTGTTTCTAGCACAGGGACAAACAGCAGGAAGTTCACCTTCAGCAGAAAGCTGTCTTCCATGTCAAGGACCTGGCCGACCTGAGTACCATGACCATCACAGGTGCTGCTCAGGTACGATGGGGCTGGGTCCTGGTAAGCCCAGCATAACTTGAAACACCTGTAGGCCCCAAATGCATTGGATATTGGGCAAGAGTAGTAGCACAACTATTGGGTGTCCTGGCTTAGACCACTGTACACTCTAGTGTTGGTTGCTTCACCTTGTGATCTCAGGGCTGAGGGGGAGCTGTGGTTTGCTGCCGCTGCCTGCATCACAGAAGAGGATTGGACCCAATAATGCTAGGCACCCCCAATCCAAATTCAACATTCAGAGTGTGGTTTCTACTGACTATGTGTGGCTTTTGCACCATGGTCAAGTTGAAAAATCTTACGTTGAACATTGTAGGTCAGAGTATCTCTGTACTATAATTTAAAAAAGAAAGAAAGAAAGAAAGAAAGGGAAGAACACAAATCTTCTAACTTTAGGCTGATGGCTGCTAGTTCCAGTGCTTACTCTGTACCCTTGGCTACATACACATTCCTGGATAAATATCAGGTTCTTTTCTCAAGCAAGAATAAAATCAACCTAGCAGACAACAAAGAGAATTACATTTATTTGGGGATGATTAGGACTACAATCCAGGAAAACAGAAATTCAAGGACTCTTGAAAATGTGCTCCCAGGATTTACAAAATGGTGGCTGTATTTATAGCTAGGGGTCGGGGAGGGTGGTGTGGCAGTTGTTAGGAAGTACAATCGGTGCTGGAAAAAGTTTAGCTGTTTTGTAAGAAAGGGACTAGGCACAGTCTCAGTGTGGGGGTTGTGCAGTAGAGGGGTCCACTACCCTGGTCAGCAGAGGTTAACTGGTCTGGGCCAGGTCCCAGGTCAGCTTGAATGGGGGCAGGCAGAGGGTATCTGCAGCCCAGTTCAAAGGTTCAGCTGCTGATGTGTCTGAAACCGGATTTAAGTGTATCTGCCAGCCCCATGCTAAGTGCCCTGAACGAGCGCTCGTCCGTTTTGATCTTCTTTCTTGATACTTTCACTCTCTATAATGTATTTGTGATCCCTCTACATCATTAAATGTGTCAGTAGAATATCTGTTTTTCTGAGTCATAATATCAATGTGCAACCAAGTGTATCTTTTTCTCTATTGAGAGGCATTTGGATGGTTTTAATTTGGGAGCTGTGGTGTGGTCCTTTCTCTTTTTTTTTTTTTTTTAGAGAGAATTTTTTTTTAATATTTATTTTTCAGTTATTGGCGGACACAACATCTTTGTTTGTATGTGGTGCTGAGGATCGAACCCGGGCAGCAGGCACGCCAGGCGAGCGCGCTACCGCTTGAGCCACATCCCCAGCCCCGGTCCTTTCTCTTAAGTTGTGATCTTTTTGTGATCTCCACTTCAAGCCCAGATTGCTCAGCAAGGTCTTACCACTCAGCTACAAGCTGAAATTCCCATGTCTCCTAAATGCACAGATTCTGGTATTCTGCTCATGGTCCCATGGCCACTGCTTGGCTAAGCCTTATGGAGTCTCCCCTGCACGTAGAGTCCAGCCAAGGTCACGGAGGACCTCCAATGCCCACGCCTCCTGCCCTGCCCACCCATGGGAGCTCCCTCAGCTCAGGAACTCAGATCCACTGTCCCAAACTCCAATCTCAGCCCCTCAGTTCAGTGAGGCTACCTCACTCCATCCACTCAGGCTCCGTCCCCTGCACCGTGGTCAGAACTGTTCCCCTGAGAGACAGCCAGGGTGGCTTGGGATTCAATTTGTTTCCTTTTTCCCAAGGATTTCATCCTCCTCTCCTTGTCCAATACTGGAGAATAGCTGCTGTGTACACTGTGTCTGGTTTATAGATGTGGATTTCAGAAAGGCCATTCCAGTCACTCCATGTCTATCTCAAGAGGAAGTCCTTGACTGACAGGCCCTTTAAGTCTCTCTCAATGTAGAGGCTCCTGTCTCCCCTTCCATCTTCCTTTTATTTTTTTTAAAAAATACTGGGACTTGGTCTCAGGTTCTGGCACGTGCTAGTCAAGCATCTACCACCGAGCTACATCCTTAGCCCTTTTTATTTTGAGACGGGGTCTTGATAGATTGCCCAGGCTGGTCTTGAACTTATGATCCTCCTGCCTCAGCCACCTGAGTAGCAGGATTACAGGTGTGCTCCACCACCCAGCTTCCCTTCCATCTTCTTATCCCTCCCTTGCTACTTACTGGTTGAAGGAATTGCATTATTTGTCTGATTCCCCCCACATCTCAATTTCATAATGGTGGTGTGTTTTGCTATCAGAAAACCCATAGTACCTGGTTATCTCTTTTTTGTGATATTACAAACTGTTGTATATCTGTGTTCACTGGCCCATCATGGTGCATCCGTATTTATTTAGAGAATTGACATCACAATATGTATACAAATTTGATATCCTAATTTTTTAACAAAAGAAGGAATATAGAATATGACTTTCACTAGGTGTTTTGGTAGTTAGATTAGAGAGGCTCTTCCTTTTCTGGACAGAACCATGTAAAACTTTGTTTTGATTGCAAAAACCAGAAGCCACAAGAGAATTTTATTCCTGTTCTATATCATGCCAGATAGGATACTTCTTCTGGCCCTTTGCCAGAAGTGGAAATCTACCCTTATCTAAATAACTTCAGAACCCCAGAACAGGGAGAAAACACTGTTTTTCTGTCTAGGGAGAGAATGAAGGATTTTACCCCAAACCTCAACCTCTGTAAGTAGGCCAGGGTCGTGACTGTTCTCAGATGAAGTTCACGAGTCTCTTGATGAATATCTTGAAGTAAATATTTTTCTCTTTCCACATTTTTATTGTTGTCCTATGTGTGCATCACACATACATAATGATGCAATTCGTCATCACACATTGGTACATGCACACCGTATAACATAAAATCTGGCCAATATCACTCCCCGCCTCCTCCTAGTCCCTGTCCCTTTTCTCTATTGATCTCCCTTTGATTTTCATGAGATCCTGCCCACCCACCCCATTTTCCCCCTTTTTCTTCTCTAGCTTCCATATATGAGAGAAAACATAGAATCCTTGACTTTCTGAGTTTGGTTTATTTCACTTAACATAATAATCTCTATCTCCATCCATTTCCTGTGAACAAGCAGAATTTAATCTTTAGGGTTAAATTCCATTGTGTGTATATACCCCATTTCCTTATCCATCCATCCGCTGATGCACACCTAGGCTGGTCCCATAGTTTGGCTCTTGTGAATTGTATTCTATAAACATGCATGTGTCACTGTACCGTGATGACTTGATTCTTTAGTATAAATACTGAGGAGTGGTATAGCTGGGTCAAATGGTGGTTCCTTGCTGGTCTTCTGAGGAGCCTCCATATTATTTCCATAGTGGTTGCATTAACTTCTGATCCCATCAACAGTGTAAACATGATCGTTTTTCTCCATTTCCTCCCAGCATTTGTTATTATTTGTATTCTTAATGACTGCCATTCAATTTGGTGTGGGATGAAACCTCAGTGTAGCTTTGATTTGCGTTTCCCTAGTTCCTAATGGTGTTGGACATTTTTTTTTCATATATATGTTGGCTATTTGTGTTTCTTCTTTTGAGAAGTATCTAGTTCATTTGCCCATTTATTATCATTTATTATTGGGTTATTTGTTTTTTTGGTGTTAAATTTTTTTTTGAGTTTTTTGGGTGTGTGTGTGTGTGTTTTTTTAGTTCTTTATATATTCTAGATACTAATCCTGTCAGAAGAATAGCTGGCAAAGATTTTTCTCTCCTTCTGTAGGTTCTGTCTACACCTTCCTGGTTGTTTCCTTTGCTGTGTGGAAGCTTGATGCCATCCCATCGATTAACTCTTGGCATGATTTCCTGAGCTTTAGGGGGCCCTAGTGAGAGAGTCTGTGCCTATTTGCAGGAGTGTTGTCCTACATTTTTCTTCTAGGAGTTGCATAGTTAGTTGCTGATCTAATTCCTAGGTCGTTGATCCATTTTGAGTTGACTCGTGTGTAGAGTAAGAGATAAGCATCTGGTTTCACTGTTCTACTTCTGGATAGCCAGGTTTCCCAACACCATTTGTTTAAAAGGCTGTCATTTCTCCAATGTGTGTTTTTGGCACTTTTGTCAAGGATCACATGACTATATCTGTGTGGTTTGTCTCTGTATCTTCTGTTCTGTACCATTGGTCCATGTGTCTGTCTGTTGTTTTTTTATGCCAGTTTCACATGGTTTTTTGTTTGTTTGGGGCACTGGGGATTAAACCCTAGGGCACGTAACCACTGAGCCGCATCCCCAGCCCTTTTTTATTTTTTTTGAGACAGGGTCTCACTAAGTTGCTTATGGCCTTGCTAAGTTGTTAAGGCTGGCTTTGAACTTGTGATCCTCCTGCCTCAGCCTCTCAAGCCACTGGGATTACAGGAGTGTGCCCCTGGGCCCAGCACCATGCAGTTTCTGTTACTATAGCTCTGCAGTATAATTTGAAGTCAGATATTGTGATGCCTTTAAAATTTCTATTTTAAAATTTCACTTATGATAAAAATTAAGGGCCTATTTATTAATCTAATTATGATCTTTTACTTTGTTGAAATGCTGATGGAAAAAAGTTTTCCTCTAATCTCTTAGAATATTTGTAACAACATAAATATAACTGTGTAGAGATATTCTACAATATTTTACACATCTTTACCTCCCTCCCTCCTATTATCTATCCCCCTCCCTCCCCCTCCCTCCTTGCCTACTGACTGTATCTTTACACCCGCCTATTTCTCCGTCTATAAAACTTTTCTCCTTGAAAGGACTCTAGGTTCAGCTTGTCTGGTTCAAGAGCAAGGGGAAATGACGTCGATTACTGACTGGCTCGTCTCCCTTCTAGGGGTCTCAAGGTCTTAGCCCTATAGCCCCAAGAGCCTGGATCTGGCTTTCGTATCCTTTTCCACTTTACCTCAATGACAACAGACACACTTCCCCGTCATTATAGGGTGAGTACTTTGCCAGGCATGGTGGCTCATGCCTATAATCCCAGGAGCTCAGGAGGCTGAAGCAGGAGAATCTTGAGTTCAAAGCCAGCCTCAGCAACTTGGCAAGGCCCTAAGCAACTCATTGAGACTTTTTCTCTAAGTAAAATATAAAAAAGGGCTGGGGACGTGGCTCAGTGGTTAAACATCCCTGCATTCAATCCCTGCTACCAAACCAAACAAAAACTCCCCAACAAGCAAAATGAAACAAAAACAAAAACAAAAACATCCTTAAACTAAAGAAGGAGCTGCTAATAAGGAAAGGAGTGGAGGACAAAAGACAGTGATCCGAGTTTTATTAGCATCAATGTAATTTTTGTCTCATGGGAAAGAAGATTTCCTCTGGCTTGGAATCTGGGTTGGGGGCCCTGGTCTCCCTGGAGGTAGTTTTCCTGAGGGTCTCTCTTGTCCCAGGCTATTAAAAACCTGTCTTCGACATTATTCAAAGTGACTGTCTAATGATCTCTAAAGATTCACTGGAGGTTACTCAACTCTCCCGTTAATGAGCATACTTAAATTGCTGGCATTTTTCACATTTACACCCAGATATTCCCGACTCTGCCCCGTCAGGGAGCCAGGACAATGTACTTCTAGCGTTGGGGTCTCCATGGTACTGGAGGCCCCCCGGGGATGGAGTCCATGCGGGGCCAGTGGTCTCTGCCTCTGCCTTCCCCTTTGCATCTCTTTGCCTGGTGATCTATTTTATTCATGAGAGTGTTTTGATCCTTTAATTTGCTACTTGCGTTTCAGGTTTTGAAAAGTCAAATGGTGAATTTTTTCATTGGGATTTTTAAAATTCATTTTTATGCTTAGAAACTCCCTGTCTGTTCAAAGACAGGATCCACATTCGTGTGTGTGCACCTGCATGAACATGTATGTGTGTGTGTTTAGTGTTCATAGAAAAACTAAACTTCATATACCTCCCTGTCCCTGCATGTGCACAGCCTCCCCACTATCAAACCCTCTCCATCATCAAACCCTCCCCATATCAAACCCTCCCACCAGAGGGCTGCATTCGTTATGATCAATGAACCATCAAGCATCATTATCCCATGTACTCCACAACTGACATTAGGGGTCACCCTTGCTGAGTACATCCAATATCTACAAGGTCATATGTCCACTGTCACAGTACCAAACAGACTAGTTGACTGCCCTACATCCTCTCCCCTGCTTCTCTCTCCTCCCCCAGCCCGGACAACCACTGACCTCATTACTATCTCCCTCATTTTGTCTTTTCCAGACCGTGATATTGTTGGAATCACAGAGTACGTGGTCTGTACAGATTGGCTTCTTTTACTCAGTAAGAGGTAATAATTTAAGGTTCCTCTGTGTCTTTTCATGCTTGATAGCTCATTTCTTTTTAGTACTAAACATTCCATTTTCTGGATGTGTTTATTCATTCACCCATGGAAGGACAGTTGGTTTTTTCCAAGTTTTGCAATTATGAATAAAGCAGCCATAAATATACATGTATAGGTTTCCTTCCTCATTCCCTTCCTCTCTCTCCTCCTTTCCTTTTCTTTCTCATTTGACTCTTTAATCCTTCCAGAACTCATGATATGAGAGAGAGGTTTTACATGAGTTTTTTCTTTTGCTAACTGAGCACTCAGTGAGTTTTATTAAAGAATTAAAATTCTCAAAAAGGGAAGAGTTTGTTGTTTGTGTGTTTGTTTTCAGAGAGCAGATTCTGCCTTTCTAGTCCATGGCTCTTGAAGACTGGTAACCTCAGGTTAAACAGAGGGCTCAGAGATTAATCCCAATATTTCAAAAGACTTCTGAGACAATAGTGTCCCTTAGGAAAAAAAAAAGTTAATCCATCACAAAACCTAAACCATCAACTAGTTTTTACTTTTTTAAAATATTTTTTTAGTTGCAGTTGGACACAATACCTTTGTTTTATTTTTTTATTTATATGTGGTGCTGAGGATGGAACTCACACTGCACCCATGCTAGGCAAGTGCTCTACCACTGAGCCACAACCACAGCCCCCAACTATTTTTTACTTTTAATTAGGATTTTATCAACTCACTTCAATATAATCGAGCAACATTTATCAAGTACAGGCTGTGCTCCAGGTTTTGTGTAGAGCATTGGGTTCTTCAGGGCAGTAACATTGTTAGTTGATGGAAAAATAGAGAATAACTAAAAATTCAAGTTTTAGGAATAGTTTGTTTCAAAAGTTGATATCTGTGGAGGAAAAAATAACATAATGAGAAAATATTATGCAGTTTCTTGAAGAGGGAAGATCCATATTTTTTCTTACCAGCTCTCAGAAAATTCTATTACCAGCTCCCTGTCCCCATATTAACAATTGCTGTCCTTAGATGAACTCCTGTAAGATTTCACACACACAAAAAAACAACCAACCAATCAACCAAACACCTTACTTCATTCACTTAATTACTGCTGAAGACCTAGATTTCAGCAAGATAACGTGCATATTTGTAAAACTGAGAAATGTCACCTGTTCTCTTGAATCCTCCTTCCCAGGGGCTTCAGAGGTTAATGGCACCTGGGGGACCCCTTGCAGGACGTGGGCTGGTCGTATTCCCCACGTGACCCGTGGCTGCATCACCTCTTCTCACGTGCTCCGAGTGCCCACCCTGGTTCCTGCAGGACCTTCCCTCTGGGGAGGCCCTCTTCTGTGAGAACAGTCTCTGCAGTGGCCCAGCCACTGCTGGGGACACACGAACTTCTGGAAAAGGAACAAACTAGATCCATGTCAGGCCCGGACTGAGGAAGGGGAGCCCATTCCAGAGTCTCAGCCTCTGCTCGGCCATCCTGGGTGGGTGTCGCAGGGCCCTCCATTTGCACAAGGTCTTCCGTCCGTGATGTCCTCCTGGTCACACTGCAGTCTGCATGTGTACCCCAGACCTGCCTGGCAACTGCTGTCCTGGAACAAGGAGCAGTTACGAAAAAAATAGACAAAAACAAATCCAAGACTTGGAGTTGCTCAAGTTTTAAGGACATCAAATCCCAATGGTGTATGAGATGCATCTGCACCTTCAAAATGAGTGAAAGAAATACCAGGACAGGCTTTTCCTACGACAGATGGGCTGGATTCTGCAGGCACCTCCTAGAGAACTCAGTCCGAGCAGGCCACCTCGTGTTCAGTGTGGAGCTCGGCTCTGAGGAGTGTACGAGAGGACATGGGAATGGCCACTAGATGGCGCCCCACTCCAGGCAAATTGTCCATAATCGTGGCAAAGAGATTTTGGCCTTAATGCCAATATCCTGGAGGCAAATTAACACAAGGCCATTTGATTCTTCAGCTAGATATTTCCATTTCTACTAGAACAAATACCTTCTCTCTGCCACCCGTATTTAGCTTTCCCTCCAAACAGGAAGCAAAAGAGAAATAACTGTTGTTCCCTCATTTATATGACATTCAATTGTGTCCCTAAAGAGACGGATGTGAATCTCTGCTTATGGTGCACATTTAAAGCACTGGCCCTCGAGGGCGTTCAGGCCTCAGGGCGTTTTGGCTCAGCTCTGCCTTCTGCTCCTGGCCTCCGGTGCCTGGGCTGGCAGCCGGTCCCTTTGCTGCACATCTCGACCCAGCTGATCCTCCATTGAGAGATAGCAGCGTCCTGACCTCATAGGGTGGCTCCCAGATTTGCCCTCCTTCCTCATCCCTTTAAGCAAACTTTCTTAGATTAATTTTAGATTTAGAGAAAAGGTGCCAAGATGCTATGTGCCTCACACAACTTCAGAACCCCAGCCCCCATGTTATGTCATTCTGAAACACTTGTCAATGCTAAGAAATGAGGGCCACAGACCCCCAGGGAGTGGGCCAGGTGTGGGTGCCCCATCATGTCCCAGGTTCAGACACGAGTTTCCCTGAGACACCTATCTCAAGGGGTTAACTGATGTGCTCCTGTGCCCTGCAGGTTTTATGAAATGCTTCCTAGTTTTTGATTTTTTAATGGAAAGACATGCTCCTTTAATTTCTTTCCACCCCTTTTCGTGATCTACAGGCATGCAATGATCAGCTTTCGTTTCTCAGAGTGGAACACGTTTTATTTCTCACGTTCAATTCCATAAACGCCCATTCCTTACAGCACCTGCTCCGCCCTCCACATTAGGTCAGGCCCTGTGGACACTAACGAGGCACGTGGAGGGGTTGGCATCTGCTGTGACTGGATCTGAGATATCCCCCAAGGCTGGTGTGTGGAAGGCTTTGTCCCCAAACCAACCGTGTTCAGAGGTGAGACTTTGGGGAAGTGTCGGAGAAGGACCAAAGGGCCCATGTTGGAAGGGGCATGTCCACCGCGTGGCATCTGCAGCACCTGCTTCTGCAGCAGCGTGAGGTGCCCCCACCCCTTGTGCCAGCATGGCGCAGGGGCGGTCTGAGAGGCCTCGGCAGAGGGCGGAAGCTGGGACTCTGGTGGAGGCTAGGAAGATGGCAGACAGCAGGGGTGAGCCAAGGGGTGGGCCGCGAGTGCGGGGGTCTGTGTACTCTCAGGAGTACTGGGGTGGCTCTCTGAGGTGGTCTGGGACTCCCAGTAAGGTTGAAGCCAGAGTCTAGCCTTTAAGGTTCTTATGGTGACTAGTTCTGTTTCCATGCTGGCGTGGCCAGAAGGATCCAGAAAACAATGATACCTTTGGACAATTGTTGTGAGAGTTGAAATGTGATAGTGTGGGAGGAGCATTTGCACGGAGGCCACAGGTGGTGGGTGTCCCTCGATACCCATTCCCTCTGTGTGCTCATCACCCTGGAGATGGTTCAGTGGGGTGGTGAAACCAAGGGCAAGAGGG